CCCCCCCTTTTTTTTCCCCCCCAACTGACTTTATTACTGGACTGTTAAAACTGAAATATATCTATGCTAAACTTCCCTGTGTGGAAATAGGTATAACAGACTTAAACAATAGATGCAGTCATTAAATTTCCAAGAGATGTGAAAACAAGCAGTATAGTCACTCATAACATCATCACTATGATAATATTTCACTTTTAAAAAAGGACTAGATAATTCTAAATCTAGATTCCTTCTACTGACATCAATGGGAATATTACCAGCAGGAGCAAACCATGGTAAGAGATGTATCATCTGTAGCTGTATTTAACCTATTTAAGGTTCATTTAAGCCTATTTAACTCGTGCATTTTGGAATATGAACTGATCAGTATAGGTTCAGGATTGAAGCCACGTCCCAGCTGAGTCAGCATGCACTGGCCACAGAGTTCCACCTGCCACTGAATTATCATATGGTAGCCACTAATGCAGACAGGGAATTAGACTTGCTGAACAAATGCACAAATCCAGTATGATAAATCCCATTGAAATACAGGTCATCTCCCTATTAAGTCATTTAATTAATACATCACTTATTGGCAATGACAACACAGCTTGCTTGCTTTTAATACATGATCAAAAGTGTGGAAAATAATAAAAGCCTTATGCTAATTCTCATTATTTCTTTGCAGAAAAGAAAAAAAATGGATTGTTTGAACAAATCACCAAAACTCATGGAACAGTCATTGGCATCACATCAGGGATAGTTCTAGTTCTTCTCATCATTTCAATTCTAGTACAAGTAAAACAACCTCGCAAAAAGGTTATGGCTTGCAAGACTGCTTTCAATAAAACTGGTTTCCAGGAAGTATTTGATCCTCCACATTATGAACTGTTTTCACTAAGGGACAAAGAAATTTCTGCAGATTTGGCAGATTTATCAGAAGAACTTGAAAATTATCAGAAAATGAGACGCCCTTCAACAGCTTCCAGATGCATTCATGACCACCACTGTGGCTCCCAGGCCTCTAATATAAAACAAAGCAGGACAAACCTCAGCTCCATGGAACTTCCCTTTCGCAATGATTTTGCGCAGCCTCAGCCAATGAAAACATTTAATAGCACATTCAAGAAAAGTAGTTACACTTTCAAACAAGCGCATGACTGCCCTGAGCAAGTCATAGAAGACAGGGTGATGGAGGAGATTCCATGTGAAATCTATGTTAGAGGAAGAGAAGATACGGCACAAGGTTCATTATCTATTGACTTTTAATTTCCTAGGGAAGATGGTATCAGTGTATTTACAAGATGCTTGTGTACGATGACAGTGTATATATTAAAAGTGCACTATATGCACCGTGTGAGATGCACACACTTTTAGCTTACTATACTTCATTTAAAAAAAAAAGTCTTCATAACTAACTCTTGCTGAAAAATGGTGGATTTCCTCCCATCTTCCCAAGCTACCTATCTAGTGGAGGAGTAAGACAGAGACATTGCACGGAACTTACAAGTTAAGGATATTGGAAGGAAAAAAAAAAACCAACAACAACAAAACCCAAACACAACTACTAATCGTTGAACAATGACTACTATTCTCTTCCTCATATCATTTTCTCTTCTTTAGATGTCTGTTTTTCAAGACATTTTTAATACCTCAGTTACATAAATAAAAGTAGTTAAGTGCACCACATGTATGTCAACATAGGTGTCTTATTGTATTTGTCAAATTGAAAGTAGAGTTAGTGTTAAGTGCCAGTTAAGACTGAAGAATTATGTTAACAGCCATCTGCTTCATCTTGCTTACCATTTATATTGCCTTTAATTATCAGTTCCTGACTCTATGCTTTGTGAGAAATAAGTGAAAAGGATTTCTGCCTTTTAAATATACTGACCTACATTAATTTTAGTACATTTGGAAATATATAATCTTCGCAGCTTTTGGCAGAACACAAGTAAGTACTCATATTCTAGATGCAGACTTTTACAACAGTTTTCTTTAAAGAAGGTTTAGGATTTTAAAATATTCTACCATATATTATAGATCCATATGGCTCACTGATTTCACAGCTCTGTAGTTAGAAAACAATTTTGTTCCTGGTTTTCCAAGTATTTACATAAATAGACTGTACATTTGTCTCTTAAAATAGCCTTTCACTCCTTATTGCAGCCAATCTTCCCTACTGAAATCAGTGATGATACTTTTAGCTCATGTCCTAAT